CGGTGAGTAACGGTGACACAGGACAACGACGGCGACAGTTCAGAATGAGAAGCGTAGTCAGCGGGGGAGCGCCTTTGCCTATTTTCACAAGGCAGATGGGGACGAATATATCAAATGCTGTCTTGTCAAGGAGGGGTAAATCTTGGTTTGAAGTCGTAAATTCAAAAGAACATGACTTGACTTTTGTGCAAACATCAGTAGGGGAAGGGGGCAGAGATGGTATAGGCTATTGTTTAAGGCTTTGGGCTGGAGATTAAAAAAAAAAAAAAAAAGAAAAAAAGAAAATTAAAAGATTAAAATAAAAATAAAGCACACACCACACAAATCAGAGTGGCAGCCATTTTGTCTCCATGGCAGCGAACTTTTTTTTTCCGTTCCTTCGAGGCGCTCTTGGCCGGAGCACGGTGCAGTCCGTGGGGCAGCTTGCTGGCTTTGTTCCCCACCTTGGAATTAAAGGCTAGATCCACTCCGAATTGATTTTAAGATGGATGCTGGCAGATCAAGTCAACTGTTTCTTAAATCTCTCCTTGGTTGGGTTGCCGTGGTCTGCCGGCTAAACTTCCCGGCCCTGGCAGAATGCTGGCAAAAACCCAACAGCAAGAGCATGGCTGTCACCCCTTGTGACAGCCGTGAGGCACTCGAGAGGCGCACAGGGTGACAACCGGCAAGCATCCAACCTGAAACCAGGATCTATTGATCTATCGAACCTTCAGGGCCGCCTTAACATGACACTTTTTTTTTGGCAACTTTTTGCATGCCCTCCTCCAACCGGTGAAGTGATGCTGTTTGCTGGTCAGCTGTTTGTGTTGGGGGTCCGCACTGGTGATGGTGATCTGGAGCAGCCCCAAGTCTATCCGCTCCCTGCGCCCTTCATCGACTCCGCGTCTTGGGGAGTACGTAGAAGGCGTGCGGACGTGAAGTGCACACACAAAGGGGGCTTGGCCAGGCAACGTTCACTTTCCAATATGTCCTACGTTCCCTCCTACTCTGAGCCCCCAGCCTCCATTAACAAAAAAAAAAAAAAAGAACAAAAAAAAAATTAAAATAAACTAGGAGAAGAAGTCGCAGATGGCGGGACTTTCATACTTTGTAATAGATATTGGCGGGGCTCTGGCTGGCCATGTCCTGTACAATGTACACCGGGTGTCCATAGTCCCCGCTGACCTTCTCGTAGTGGGGACAGAAGGCGCCACCTTCCGAAGGCCTCAGTGGCATGATGATGTCGCTGGGCTCGTGCCCGTTGTTGTTACCCCCGCCTCTCTTCGGGGAGGTAATGGAGCCCAGGGAGAGGGGAGGATGCCGCGTGTCGCTGTGCTTGGCTTGCCGACGTCTGTGGCAAGCCCATCCAACCACCCCGAACACCAAGAGGAGCAGGACAGCGCCCCCTGCTGCACCGGCAACTAGGGGAACGTGGGAATTAGGAAGGGGGCCGTTCTCTCCTGTCTTGGTGGCATTGCCAGATGTGTCTCCTGGAAAAGAAGAAACAAAGTTAAAGAATTAAACTGTAAGCTAATTATATCACTTTACATATTTCATAGAACCTAAAAACATATAAATTGTACGTCAAATCTCATGTCTCATGCTGACATTATGGAATAAAAGGGCACTTTTTGGAGGCTATGAGTCTGTCCTCCTCCTGCAGAGTGATACAGACAGAACGGAGCTATGAGTCTGTCCTCCTCCGGCAGGGTGATACATAGAAGGGAGCTATGAGTCTGTCCTCTTCCTGCAGAGTGATACAGACAGAACGGAGCTATGAGTCTGTCCTCCTCCTGCAGGGTGAACTCCTGAAAGTTGATACATAGAAGGGAGCTATGAGTCTGTCCTCCTCCTGCAGGGTGATACAGACAGAAGGGAGCTATGAGTCTGTCCTCCTCCTGCAGGGTGATACATAGAAGGGAGCTATGAGTCTGTCCTCCTCCTGCAGGGTGATACAGACAGAAGGGAGCTATGAGTCTGTCCTCCTGCAGGGTGACACTGGACTCCACACTGGAAGTGTCACGTGTGTGGTCTCAGAGAACCCCCGGCGGTGGTCCTGCATTGTACTCGCCCCTCCCTCTCTCTTGCCTCCAGGCATTATCAGCTGGATTTAAATAAACAGCTTTAATGAAGTCTAATTAAAAAGATCGAATCTGCACTTTAAGTGGCGGAACGCATTAAATCAGCAAGACACTGGGGGTGGTGGGAGGACGGGGGGCGGAGGGGCAGAGCCGTCCTAGAGTTTCCAGACGTAATATGTTGTCTCGTTTCTCCTCTCTCATCCCCGCTGTCTCCCTTCTGTCCAAATTGCTGAGTTTATTAAAGGAGATCTTTCATAGTGACAGCTCAGTGACTCCCAGTACAGTGCTGTACCAAACCGCTGCGCCACCATCACCCCACTTCCTTCTACCCCATGTTTATCTGCAGTGTCTGTTAACCCTCCCCTGCCCCCACTTCACTGCGGTACAGCATCTTTCCTGATGTCCAGCTACAGGATCCTCGCACATAATAAACAGATACGTCCTGTGTTCATACAATATGTATCATGCTATTTAACTGCCGCTCTGTGGCAGCTGGAAGACTTGAAGAAATCAAGGATGAAATGTGTCATCTGATCTCTATTTAACCACCATCATCAGCTGCCACACCACCAGCTCTGTGCTCGGCTGTTCTGGTGAGGAACATTTCATGGTGTCTTGCAGGTCATGTTTCAGGTTTAGTTCACACCCTATGCAGTGCGTTCCGGTCCGATTCTGCATCGCATTGCGGCCGACTCACTTTTTTTGCCGAGCTGGAGGGGGCGTGGCGGGCCATTGAAGTAAATGGCACCGTAGCCACGCCCTCTGGCTGCAATGCGATCGACCGCACGTGATCGCAAGGCACATTGTGATAGACACATAGATAGATAGACACATAGTGCTTGCAGCATTTTGACCGCACCGGACCGGACTGCAGGCACAATGTGTCTATCTATCTATGTGTCTATCACAATGTGCCTTGCGATCCCGTGCAGGCGATCGCATTGTGGCCGGAGGGCGTGGCTACGGTGCCATTCACTTCAATGGCCCGTCACGCCCCCTCCAGCCCTGCAAAAAAGTGAGCTGCCTCAATGCGATGCAGTGCGTTCCGTCCAGAATTCAGACCGGAACGCACTGCATATGTTGTGAACTAACCCTAAGGCCTGCTCTTGTGAGAAGGAAACATTGACTTCAGGTCTATTTATTAACCTTATGCCCCTCCACACACTGGACAAATGCCCTTCACACTTGGCATTCCCACCAATAGATGGAGCCAAGGAGCACAGGAATTTCCTAAGGTCAGCGGCTCCATCTAGTGTCGGGAATGCCGTGCGAATGGCATTCGCTCTGGGTATGGTTGCTTGCATATTGTAAGGATTGCCCATTTGTTGCCCATGCATTGTAACAGTTGCCCATTTGTTGCCCATGCATTGTAACAGTTGCCCATCTACTGCCGTGCATTGTAATGACTCCCCATTTGTTGCATATGTATTGTAACTAGGAATGCACCAATATCGTTTTTCAGTATCGAGTACCGATATTTATATTTTGGTACTCACCAATACCGATACCGATACTTCCAGTAGCATGGAGCCGGCTTCCTGGGCAATCGGGAAGCCAGGCAGCATGTCATTACCCGCCGCCTGGGTTCTAGATTTCTAGGAAAGCCGACTCCATGCTGTTTGGCCTGCTCCATGCTGATTGGCCGAGAAGCCGGCTTCCCAGCCAGTCAGCATGGAGTCAGCTTCCCGGCCAATCAGGAAGCCGGGAGGCGGGTCATTACCTCCTGCCCGGCTACCTGCTTGGCCGGGAAGCCGGCTCCATGGTGTTTGGCTGGCTCCATGGTGATTGGCCAAGCAGCCGTTTTCCCAGCCAATCAGCATCGGGCCGGCTGTTTGGAGGGCTCAATGCTGATTGGTTGAGAAGCCAGCTTCCCAGCTAATCGGTATGGAACCGGCTTCCTGGCCAATCAGGAAGCCGGGAGGACGTGACAGGTCATCTTTATGGAAACATCAGGGGTCTGCTAGACACCCTAATGTCACCTATGGACCCCAAAGAAGCTGATGAAGCCAGAGATCTGCTTCATCAGCTTCTGTTCCGGAAACATCAGCCGGAGAAATGACACCCTGAATCTGGAAGTGATCTAATACAAGTCACTTCCGCTTTCGGTGATTAAAAGGGGAGATCGGCCACTGGAGGTCCCCATCCCAGGCCTGCAAGGGGGACAGCGGAACCAGAGCGTGCTGGGATGCTGCAGCAGCCATGATCTTGGTATAACTGATTCAGGTTACCGCTGTTTATATACGTACAGCTGCCCTGAAGGGGTTAACATTATGAAGACAACATAAAAAGCCGCCATCCAGTCTACTGAAGGTACCTGCAAAGTTTGGGGAGTCCGGGTTTGGTGCAGACGGAGAAAGGTTGGAATCTTTATCTCTTAGTGAAGGCCTCCGCGGGTGAGTCCCTCCATCTGGACCTGCAAGGGGGAGGAGTTTATAGAGGTTAGCAGCAAAGACGACATACAGGCTTATTGAAGGCATTGCTGGACACAAAGCTAAACTCCAGGCGGATATAAAAGACACAAATGAACACAGCTCTGTAATCATTATTACATCACTAGATGTACTTCTTGTAATACAAAGAGTGTAGGTATCAGAATTTGACCTGGTATCCCGTGTACAGCAGAGCTTAGAGTGGGAGAGGGAGAAGCAGCACAAGCAGTCAATCAGTTCTAGTACTGGCAAGAAGCAATGCTGAGAGGAGGAGACAGCAGAGTGACAGAAAGATGAGCTCATCACAGTGCTGTCAGTTCACTGTCCAGTCATAGGCTGGGGACGGGCCCATGGCAGTTCGGGCTCAGAGGAAGTGGGCTGAATCAAGCTGGCCATCATTCAGTCTAGAAGACTGAGGACATCTAGTTGTAGAAATTAAGTTCTGTGTGGGGCAAATGTGGAGAGAAGGTGAGTGTGGCAGCAAAAAGCTTTTTTGGGGGGTTTCCTATCACATTCTATTCTGTGTCCAGGACAGGAAGTGAAGGAAAATCTCCCCATTGGGATTGCAAAAAAAACCTGCCAGGAGTCTTAGACATTCCCCACGATTAAAAAAAACGTATAGTTAAAGCCATGGGCGCCCCGAGGCCGGGTGTCCCCAGGAGGGGAGACCAGGCGACACCCTGCCGTGATGTCATCGCACATGCGCGGTCATCTTATTGAGGCCTGCCGGTGGCCATCTTGGCGATGGTGGCCAGCAGAAAGAGGACAGTGTCTCCTGACACTGTCGGGCTCTAGGTCCATGACTGAGTGCCCGACTTTTCATAGGGGGTGTCTGTCAGTCATTTTGGTGTCACCCCTCCAATGGTGGCACCGGATGTGGGCCACACCCCCCTTGTGACGCCACTGGTTAAAGCCGGGGTTTAACTTACTTCTGTTTTACCTTCTATGATTCCTCCCTTCCCCCTCATCAGCATGCTCTAGACCTGGGGCGGGCAGCTTCGGCCCTCCAGCTGTGCTTTAACTACAAACCCCATCATACATCTGCCTCTGGGAGTCATGCCTGTGGCTGTAAGAGACTTGCAATGCCTCAGGGCCCATTCACACCAATTGCGGTGCATTCCAGAGCGGCAGCTGCTGGAACGCACAGCAATCGCTCACAAAACTTCCCCCTTCGTTCTAGGGCAGTAGGGGGCGTGGCGGTGCATTGAAGTCAATGGCACCTCAGCCACGACCCTCCCCCCCCCATTTTGCTGCGCGTCCGATCGCACTGGGCGTGGCTGCGGTGACATGCACCGTCCCGCCTCTTCCCGTCCCAGAAGGAAGGGGGGAGCTCTGTGAGCGACTCCTGTGCGTTCCTGCAGCTACCGCTCTGGAACGCATCGCTATCGGTGTGCATGGGCCCTCATGGATGTCCTCCAGCCAGGAAAAGGGGCGGGATCTATCTGACTTGCGGCAGCTTCTACTGCACATTACGAGAAGCAGCTCATAGCGTGCAGTGACATCATTAGGAAGCCATTTTGTTCTAAATCAAGAAGCTTCTTTATTGAACGACACGAGGCCAATAACACGATGACCGGATATAAAGTGCGCATCTCACGTCTCTTACACGTCACCTCTGGCACAGCTTTGCAAGGTGGTGAAGGACCAAACAGACTATAACCAACACCAGCGCAAAAACCTCGGGGGTCCCAAAGGGGAAGAAAGGGTTTTGGGTTCGGTGATCACCGTAGACAAAAAGAATCACAATGGAATGCAAGCCTCCTAAAAAATCAAGTGTTCCATGTTCAATGCGTTCTTCATATGCGGCATCTATTCCTTCAGAGAAGAAGGATCTTCAGACCTCCAATCCCCGAGAGTCAACCTTCTATCCTGGAACAGCTGACCTGGTGGCCCCATCTGTGAGCAGGTCACCCGTGAGGCCCAGACACTCCATGGGGACGGTTAGTTGAAATATAATCGTATTAGTCACAGAGCGCCAATATCTATTCAATGATGGACGTCTCCAGAGCATCCGAATGAGATCCCCGTGATCCCTCTCCCATCTGCTACAAGTGGGTTCGGCTAACCAAGACCAAACATTCTCATGAGAGGAGAGGAGACGGTAGGACTGTGCAAGACTGAAGGTGAGGCCGGAGATCAGATAAAAGACTAAAGGGAGGGCCGGAGGTCAGATATAAGACTGAAGGGGAGGACGGAGGTCTGATATAAGTCTGAAGGGGAGGACGGAGGTCTGATATAAGTCTGAAGGGGAGGACGGAGGTCTGATATAAGTCTGAAGGGGAGGACGGAGGTCTGATATAAGTCTGAAGGGGAGGACGGAGGTCTGATATAAGTCTGAAGGGGAGGACGGAGGTCTGATATAAGTCTGAAGGGGAGGACGGAGGTCTGATATAAGTCTGAAGGGGAGGACGGAGGTCTGATATAAGTCTGAAGGGGAGGACGGAGGTCTGATATAAGTCTGAAGGGGAGGACGGAGGTCTGATATAAGTCTGAAGGGGAGGACGGAGGTCTGATATAAGTCTGAAGGGGAGGACGGAGGTCTGATATAAGTCTGAAGGGGAGGACGGAGGTCTGATATAAGTCTGAAGGGGAGGACGGAGGTCTGATATAAGTCTGAAGGGGAGGACGGAGGTCTGATATAAGTCTGAAGGGGAGGACGGAGGTCTGATATAAGTCTGAAGGGGAGGACGGAGGTCTGATATAAGTCTGAAGGGGAGGACGGAGGTCTGATATAAGTCTGAAGGGGAGGACGGAGGTCTGATATAAGTCTGAAGGGGAGGACGGAGGTCTGATATAAGTCTGAAGGGGAGGACGGAGGTCTGATATAAGTCTGAAGGGGAGGACGGAGGTCTGATATAAGTCTGAAGGGGAGGACGGAGGTCTGATATAAGTCTGAAGGGGAGGACGGAGGTCTGATATAAGTCTGAAGGGGAGGACGGAGGTCTGATATAAGTCTGAAGGGGAGGACGGAGGTCTGATATAAGTCTGAAGGGGAGGACGGAGGTCTGATATAAGTCTGAAGGGGAGGACGGAGGTCTGATATAAGTCTGAAGGGGAGGACGGAGGTCTGATATAAGTCTGAAGGGGAGGACGGAGGTCTGATATAAGTCTGAAGGGGAGGACGGAGGTCTGATATAAGTCTGAAGGGGAGGACGGAGGTCTGATATAAGTCTGAAGGGGAGGACGGAGGTCTGATATAAGTCTGAAGGGGAGGACGGAGGTCTGATATAAGTCTGAAGGGGAGGACGGAGGTCTGATATAAGTCTGAAGGGGAGGACGGAGGTCTGATATAAGTCTGAAGGGGAGGACGGAGGTCTGATATAAGTCTGAAGGGGAGGACGGAGGTCTGATATAAGTCTGAAGGGGAGGACGGAGGTCTGATATAAGTCTGAAGGGGAGGACGGAGGTCTGATATAAGTCTGAAGGGGAGGACGGAGGTCTGATATAAGACTGAAGGGGAGGACGGAGGTTAGATATGAGACTGAAGGGAAGGACGGAGGTCAGATGTAATACACTCAGGGCCCTGGGGTACTCACGGGTCAGTTTGGATGTGGTTGGTGAAGACTTTTGCCCAGTTGAGGACATTGGATGTGGTACACAGGCCCACAAAAACTTCATCGAAGTACACAGGACGCATATTGTACGCCGTGTCCTTCTGCCCCAATGCTGCACCCCCGCCCCTGTATTTGCCGGAATTCCTGACTCTATGATAGTCAAATAAAAGGACCATCTGCATATGATGCCAGTTACAGAAACCCACAAAATAAAAAAAATAAAATGTTAATTAAAATGTGTTCCTATAACCCCTCATACACCCTTAGGCTGGGCACACACCTTACAACCATCGCAAGACTTTTGTCTTGCGATGGTTGTAAGGTACTTAAAAAAACGTACGATCTGCCTATGTTGCATAGGCAGATCGTACTTGCGATGATCGCAAGCCACGCCCCCTGAGGGACGGGCTTCCGATGACCGCAATGCCGAACGGGCAGTGTGCGCTTGCGCACACCGGCCCGTGCGGCTGTTATCGTACGGACATGCCACAAACCCGCCGAACATCGTACGATGCTCGGCGGGTTTTCGAACATGTCCGTAAGTTTAAAGTCGTGCGACCGTACAGTAGTAGAGGTCGCACGGCTTCCACACACCTTACGAACATCGTACGATCGCGGGATTTCCCGCGATTATCGTACGATAATCGTAAGGTGTGTGGGCACCCTTAGTTTACCCAAATCAGCCTTAATTCACTCTTTCTTCCTCTTCCCCCCCTAGCTGTTATTTTGATGCTGATTATTTTGGTTTATATCTATTTTTATAACCCAACAAATTTAAAAAAAAAGGTTTAAATTAAAATGTGTTTCCTTTAAACCTCTTATAAACCCTTACCTTACCCTAATCAGCCCCAATGAATGCCTCCTTCCTCTTTTCCCCATAGCTATTATTTTGCTGATGATTTTTTTTTCTATTTTATTTCTATTTTTTTCCCCCTTATAAACCCTTACTTGACCCCTATCAGCCCTAATTAACTCCTTCTTTCTCTTCTCCCCTTAGCTGTTATTTTGCTGTAATTTTTTTTTTTAATTTCTATTTTTATAACCCAACAAATTAAAAAGAACAAACAAAAGTTGTTTTAAAAAATAATAAATGTGTTCCTATTTAACCCCTCATAACCCCTTAGTTTACCCTAATTAGCCCTAATTAACTCCTTCTTTCTCTTCGCCCTTTAGCTATTCTTTTGCTGTTGATTTTTTTTTTCTATTTTTATAACCGAAAAAAATTAAAAAGAACAAACAAAAGTTGTTTTTTTAAAAATAAATGTGTTCCTATTTAACCCCTCATAAACCCTTAGTTTACCCTAATCAGCCTTAATTAACTCCTTTTCTTCCCTTAGCTATTCTTTTGCTGCTTTTTTTTTTATTTCTATTTTTTATAACCCAACAAATTAAAAAGAACAAAAAAGTGTTTGGTTTTTTAAATAAAATGT